GGAGTGAGCTTGGAGTGGTGGCTACTTTACAAGACACACACGGACCATGGGGAACAAAAGTAGCCACCCTCCAGAAGGAAGGACAGTGTCAGCATGAATTCGGAGATGAATTGAGGATCTACCACTGAATGATAAACCAATAAGGTCCAGTATTGTTAATCGTTAAGGTACTTGATTGTATATTTAGGATTCCCTTCCTGTCCAGGCCATTTTTCAGTATTCAGCGCTGCGGTACTTTTCACTGACCTTTATTCCGTCATGCAACGCTGTACTGAAACGAATTTTATACAATTTTTTGGGACAGAGCTTTCTTTTGGTGGTATTTAATCACCACTGAGGTTTTTATTTTTTACTATATAACAAAACCGTACCGAATATTTAAAAAAAAACAACAAAAAAAACAAACAGTTTTCCCTTTTTATTATTTTAGGAAATATTTATTTTTACCCAATTGTTTGGTAAAATATAAAAGGCGGGGTCACATCAGGTAAATAGACACCAAACATGTCAAGCCTTAAAATTGCGCACGCCCACGAAATCGCAAAAAACTATCATAGCCAAAATTGGCCATAGGCGTTGCTTTAAAAGATTTTAGCGCTTATCACTTTACGGTTATCAGTGATGGCCCTAAAATTATTGCGCTCACTGCAACGTTGGCGTCGATATGTAACGTGCGGCGTAATGGGTGCAATCGTCGTTTTTGCGTGTTGGCACATGGGGGAGAGGGCTGGTACAGCTGGCTCTGCCTCTAGATAGGCAGAGCCAGCTGTCACTCATGCAGCTGGGCGGATTGTCGGGATAATTGTCGGGATTCGCTTCAGCTGCGGCGTCTCCTCGCGGTATACTGAGCTTAGGGTGACGGGAGGATGCTAGTTTATGTCCTCCTGTTACCCTAAGAAGAACTAATGGGGAAAAGCCTTAACCCCATAGTTCTCCTTTTTAGTGTGGGGGTGTGTGTGTACATTTTTATTTATTTTTTTAAAACTTTTCTTTTGTTTTTACACTTAACTTTATTATCACATAGGGGACTTCTTAGCACCCTATGTAATACATTACAGTGTCTCTAAGACCCCTAATGTCACCTAGGGACCCCCCAGAGAAGCTGATGAAGCACAGATCTGCTTCATCAGCTTCTCTCCGGTTTCTGTACCGGAGAGTGACAGAGGAATGCAGAAGTGATGTAAGATACATCACTTCCTGCATTTGGAGAGCGGAGGGAGATTGCGTACTGACCTCCCTCCGTTCTCAGTGCACAGAGCCGCCGCATCTCCCGTGATGGATGATGCCCGGGATCGCCGGGACAGCGAGAAGAGGTAAGGGGGGTCAACCTGACTTGCATCATACAAGCGATCGGGCGTCTTTACAGATGCCGGACCGCTTGTATGTAAACGGCCATCGGTGGCCGCTTAAAATCCTGGCGGTTTCCCGCTCGTGCGCGACGGTGGGGACGTCTAAAGTAGAGCTGCAGGTAACGATTATTTTCAAAATCGATTCGTTAGCCGATTATTACGTTCGATTAATCGGATAAAAAATAAAATACATTTTAAAAAATGCCTCCGGTGATGGGACTACTAGTTTGTATTGAGATTGTAGTCCATCACAGGAGCAAGCTTGGAGCGGTGGAAGTAAACAAAAAAAACAACTGTGGTGCAATATAGTGAAATGGAAAGTGTAAAATTATACAGCAATGAATGCAGAATACTGCCAGCTATAGAGGACTACAAAACCCAGCAATAGTACATTATACAGCGCAATGCAGAATACCACCAGCTATAGAGGAGCACAACAAATCCCAGCAATAGTACATTATAGCTGGCGGTAGTCTGCATTGCGCTGTATAATGTACTATTGCTGGGTTTTGTAGTCCTCTATAGCTGGCGGTATTCTGCATTGCGCTGTATAATGTACTATTGCTGGGTTTTATAGTCCTCTATAGCTAGTGGTATTGCGCTGTATAATGTATTATTGCTGGGATTTGTTGTACTCCTCTATAGCTGGCGGTATTCTGCATTGCAATGTATAATGTATTATTGCTGGGATTTGTAGTCCTGTATACAGCGCAATGCAGAAAACCACCAGCTATATAGGAATACAACAAATCCCAGCAATAAATTATACAAACAGTGTATAATGTATTGCTGGGGTTTGTATTCCTATGTATAATATACAGCACAATGTACCATCCGCTATAGAGGAATACAAATCCCACTATCCCAGCAATACATTATAGAACACCATGGGGGGTGGGGGAGTGCAGGCTTAGCTGAGCAGTCTTCCAGCAACTTGCTTCTGAGATTGGGCCTGTCTATCGGCAGCTGTCATCCCCCCCATGTCTGCTCCTCCTTACTTCTTCTCCCCACGTCCCTGTGCCGATCATGGATGTGGGCGGTCGGCGAGCGTGAGGTGGGGAAGCGTGGATGGGGGCGGGTTTGGCCGCTGCGATCGTGAGGTGGGGAGGAGGTGCGGCGCGTGGCATTTGAGGAGCCGTTAACATGGCCAACTAATCGAAAGCCGATTTAATCGGTGATTGAAATCGTTGACAACTTTTTCAATGATCGATTATAATCGATTTTAGTCGATTTTTAGTTGTTGCAGCCCTAGTCTAAAGACGCCCACCCGCATCCAGGAGGCTCCCGTCCGGCCGTCTTTCAGCGTTCGACGGACGGGAAGTGGTTAAAGGATCATTAAACCCTCACTTTTTTGCAATAGATCTACTGCTAGCAAACAGTAGATATATGCAAAAATATTTTTAAAAACCTCTGTCTCCGCCGTGCGCTCCCGTCCGAAGATCTGAAGATTCTCGCGTGGCCGCAAAGGATCATGGAGCGGGCGCATGCACAGTTCGGATCTTTGGCCGGGAGAAGAGGGTAAGGGTAAGTCAATGCAGCAGCGTGCACCCTCACACTCCATGAGACAGGAGTCAGCACTGGATCAGAGACCAGCACCAGCGTTGGAGGGACTCCTGAAAACTACTGGGAAGAAGATGATCAGATGTAGAGGCATCATTTAAGGTAAGTCCTCAAAGCAGCAGTGGGGTGGGGGGAATTTTGAGTTTAGTGTCACTTTAACGAATGATCACTTTCCTCTGTGTACTTTAAAGTGGAACTCTACATATGTTTATTTCAAGCAACCCTTTTGCTGTGAAAACCAGAAGCAGCCTGTAAAAGAAGAAATTGCACCTCTTGGTGGTGAGTCATATTTTCATACCGGCGCCACTGCTGAGTGTGTTATTTAGCCTGGGCTCTGTGGTGCCCTCCTGTCAGCCGCTATGTCACTACTGTGTCTTGTAGTGAAGTAGGCTGCTTTGGCTAAGGAATGGTCTCCTAGCGCAGGATGGACTACAGACGTCTTGTCCACTTTGAAGTTTTTTTGCATGTGCATCCAGTATCCACAACTAGTTAAGCTTCAACAAAGCTGCTGGAAGCTTGCTAAATGCTTTGCGAAAGCTTGCCGTACATACTGTTCTGCTACAAGCTGTAGAGCTCAAGGCTTAAAGCAGAACTCGGTGCAAAAAGATTATTAATCCTTGCAGTGGGGGGGCTATCCCTCGCATTGCAAGGGTTAACTGCTTGCTTGTGCCTAGGGCTGAAAATAAAAGTTATACTCGCCCAGTTCTCAGAGCCGGTAGCGCCCTTTTTCCTCCTCCTGCTACAGCAATGATAATTTTACTTTGGCGTCCTCACGTCCAATACACTCTATTGAACATTGATGATTGGAGGATCCTTAGACTGCTGCTACGGAGGGGGAGAGGTGCTGCAAGGACCAGTCTAATCGCAAACCCTCTATGTATGTTATAGCACTCTTCTCGAAGTGTCTGATTACTATCTGTGCTGGCCCAACTCCTGTAGCTGCTGGAGTAGGAGGTAAGCCAAATACTATGGTGTCACTTGTGTGACTTGAGTCTGCTGGGGCTGATGGAACCACATCAAAAATGGGGGTACCCAGCAGCAGTCTCTGGGCTTTTGGATGGCTACACCAGGCAGGCTGTTACAGGTAAATAACATACATAAAATATACAAAACATCTCATAGCAAGATTGTTGTTAAAAGGAATGGCCTGGTTACAGGGTCTCTTTAACAAAGGGACTGTGATTGCAGACGTATAGAAATTGGGTAAAAGGGATTAAATACCAATAGCTACAGGTAACATTGTCTCTGTGGAAAGGTAGCCCTGCGTGATTGTGAATTACAGGTAATATGCAGATGTAAGCCAGGCCATGATGGTGGTATGCGGAGCACTAATTTATAAAAAATTAAAAACTGTCAGTGTAGATGATTAAAATATATAACACGGCATTAGTTGCTGGACTAGTATTATGGATGTGTAACATTTGAGAGGAATTCTAGGAGCAGATTCATAAGATAACTTCCAGATTAACAAAGGAATTCAAGGAGTATCACCATGGTAAATGTATGTAGACACAGAAATTTAGGGAGGACATTTTATAGAGGTGTTTGTGTGTCCATTATATAATTTATAATGTAGTGCCAAGACAGCCAAAAATGTGGTGCATCACTTGCTTCTCTCCTCCCCACTGCTCTGTGTCCTCACCAATTCCCCCTGCTATCCTCCACCAGTGTCTGCAAAAATCACAGGGGACACAGAATATGCAGCTTCCAGCTGGGGAGGAGAAGAGCTTTCAGGAGGCGAAATCTCCTCCCGCATCTCCCTTCTCGGCCTCCTGTCACAGGTGGAGTAGTCAGGATGGAGAGCGGAGTACAAACACTCAGCGATCAGAACGGGTCGCTGAGTGTTTGTAAATAACTGGAGACAAAGTAAGCTTAGTGTGTCCCCAGTTATAAATGAATAGGAAGTGTTACCCATCACTTCCTGTTCATTCTTGATTGTGGACATAGTAACTGATACTGTCTCCACAGTTTATGGATGGACAGGAGCACACTGTAAAGAGCCTTCCTGTTCATTCAGTGCTGGGCCTACACAAAAAGATTTAGGACTCTGTGTCCTCAATCTCTTTTTCTATCTTAAAATGGAAATATCAGGAGTCTGTCTAGACCTCTGATATTTCCCCAGAGCCCCTAACCGTAAAGGAAAAAAATAATAAAATAATTTTAAAAAGGTTGGGGAAAAAGTCATTTTTGGTTTCGGCCAGACAACAAATTGTAATTTCCGGTCTAGGTCTAAAAATGTGTGTACTGTAATTGCTTTCCACCTCCTACAAGTGCATATTTCATATTATGGAACAACTACTCTTCTTGTCACGTTTGCCCAGCGCCATAGCACAGTGTTACTTTAGCTTTGTTGGGTGTTGATGGATTAAGGTCAGACCTTGCTGAAACATCTCAAGTGTTTGTCATGAATACATTTTCTGTTCATTTACAGTATTACAAAAATTAAACTCTGTTCTCCGTCAGACTCAGTTCTTTGTTGAGCTGAGGACAGGCGTTTGTGAATTTTACACTTATCTTCATCTCCTTTAATCTTTTGCCAGTTGGCCCTGAGAGTTGGATCTGTCACACCGGGGGCAGGAACTCTGGGACTGATAAAACAATGTTATTTGCACATGGGCTTGGTGGACCATAGCTGTTCTGTGTTTCAGATGTGGGCATATTACCACCCATGTGTGCACAGGTCAGCACATGTTGAATACTTCAAGACTTTTGCTGCTCAACATCCGGTGCCTGAAATTTATAGAATTTCTACACCCCACTGTAGGTTGTTTGTGTGGTGTTTTTTTTTTTTTTTTTTTTTTTACCCCTCTTCTATGCGAAGTTCTTGCTGAAAGACGTGCATGCCACCTCCTGACTACCATTTCCACTTATCAACTAAGAGAATCTGCTTTCCATGTGGCTTTGTGATTGACTAAACTGACCGAGAATGGAGACTGGCTAAATAAAGCAGTAAAGTACAAGAGTATTTCTATAAATAGTCCACTGGCTGTAAGATTGGAGAAAAGAGACTTAAATCAGACCTAAACTCCATGTCAGTTGGACAGGCTATGTTAGGTGTTAAGACTAAAAAAAAAAGGCACACCATGTGACCCTCTTTCACCCACCCCCCCCCAAAGTCATGTGTTCCTATATTGGGTCACATGACCTGCTGATGCTCTCATTGAGGACAAGGACCTTGGCTTAGTCTTCATTCACTGAATGCACTTCGTCAGCTCCCTGGTGCATGGGGCAGCATTAGGCCAAGTGATCCAGAAACAGAATTTTTTTGCGTGTAGCAGATAGGAAGGTTTAAACTGATTTCAGTATAACCCTCCTCTTAAAGGACCATTATATTGAAAGATAATGTATTCGATAACTGTATTAATACATGTCATGAGGGTGTTTAGCATATGAATTCCTGTCCTGTTTTAATTTCACATGCTTTTTTTTTTTTTTTTTTTTTTATTCACAATTATGTGCAGGCCAAGCTGTCCAGTAAAAGTGACCATTAATAGGGTTGGGATAAACCATAGAACACTGCCAAAGGTGCTCACATAGTTCTTCATTTTATTTTAACTGTTTTACCAAAAGAGGGAAAACTGTTGCTGCAACCTGATAGCTGGAGTTGAGCTTTTTGTAAGTTGCTTAAACAAAGTCCATTAAAACTACATGTTTCTCTCCAAGACTTTCCTGTTCACAATGTGACGGTGCTACAGTGACTGCACTACAGAACCAACTGTGTTGTCACCCTATGAAAAAGGGAAATGGATGGCTCTATTGTCAGGATCAACGGGTAACAAATCTATGTACAGTAAAAACTGTTATCCGGTACCCATGGGAATTGGTAGATGCCAGATAACTGTAATTTCTGGTTGCTTGAGAGTTACTATTAAAGGAGAACTGTGGGGTTAGGGCTTTTCCCCATAGTTCTCAGGGTAACGGGAGGACACAAACTAGCGTCCTCCTGTCACCCTATGCTCAGTATACCGCGAGCTACAGCTCGTGGTATACTGAGATGCTGAAGCGGATTCCGACAATTATGTCTGGATCCGCCCAGCTGCGTGAGCGGGGAATCCAGCCCCTCCCCTGTCACGGCAGAGAGCCGTGACAAGATCGAGAAGTGAGCGAACGCCGGTATGTGTTCGCTCACTTCCCGATCTACTGAGCCGACCTGTGACAGTCTCATTGCCACAGGTCGGCTAGAACTATGAGGTGAGTGAAAAGCACTCACCTCATAGTTCTCAAACGCTCAAGCAACCCCCTCCCCACCCCTGGCCCAATCATCTGCTGGCTGGGTTCTGCTATTGCCATAGCCAATAGCAGGCTGGCTATTGCACACACAACCACCCGGTTAATGGGGAGCTTACTGTAATAGGGGCACTTGGAAAAACAAACTGCTGTTTCTGGCCTTATCCACAGGGGTATGCACAACTGTACAGCATGCACGTCCATGCAGAAACCTGCGCCTAGGAGGGACAACTGGTGCGTGTAGCCGCATGCAGCTTCCTGTTGAACTCGAAAGGATGTGGCAATGCATCGACCTGAGCTTGCACTTTATACAGGTACAGATGTATGCCCTTGGATGTTGACAGTCTATCTTAGGGCATACATCTGTACCTGTAGGGATTGTGCAAGGGCACACAGCACCAGCTGTCAGACCCGGGTGCAGGTTTTCTGAACGGATGTGCACACTGTATGCTTGTGCACATCTGTGTGAATGAGGCTTAATGCTCAGGACGGACTTTATCACTTGTCATTTTATGATTTTATAAGATGAATTGTATTATATGCAGTGTCCTAGCTGGTTACATTTTGCACGAGGACTGCTGTCACAAAGTATCATGTAGACATCTTTCGTTTTGTTGTTAACTCTTAACTGGTCATTGCTAAAAAATCCCTTTTGCTTTGTATTGCTGAGATGAGTAATTGTTGTGATGTATTGCTATTCTCCAGATATGATGATGCCTTTTAGATATAGGATAGTTCATGCATTTAATTACTAATTTGTTTGTTTTTTTTCTTTTTAAAGGAGTCTTGAGATTTTGATTTCTGAATCGCTGTGTACTTCCTCAAGGCTTCAGAGCACTTTGAAAAAAATGGATGAACTGTTCCAAGGAACAAAGCTGGGCTTGTCTGACTACAATGCTGCAATGTTCAGGTTGGTAGCCTCCAGTGATTTAATTGTGCATTATGAATTTGTTCTTGTAATTCACGGAAGAGGTTACATTTACTGATGACACAGATAATAATAAATTGCTGAAATGATACAAAAATGTGAAGGTTTACGTACTAGTTCCACAGGTAAGGAATTACAATGTCAAAATGTACCAAACTGCTGTACAATATAAAGATAATCGGTTTACCAAAGGAGTTTTTTCTTTGTGTTTAATCTTTGCGCACTTTCATGTGGACTTAAATCATACCAGTGGCATTTTCTTCAGGTTTTCTTCATTTCATTCTATGGAGGCTAGTTAATGTGATTGCAACCCAAATATCCATATACACATGCCTTTTACTTTTATTTAAAACAAGATTTAGTCATCATAGTTTTTATTATTTATTTCTGCTGAGAAGATAATATATAGAGACCTAAAAGGAACTTGGACTCGCATGGACTATTCATTTAGTGTGCTTGTGTACTGTTTTTACAGCACATACACCAGCAGCAGAAATTATATGCATGCCACTCCTTGCATAGCAAGGGTTAAGTGCTAATTTTTGCCTATGGTCAAAAAAGTTATTCTCAACTGATCCTCGCAGCCGGCCAGCTCTTATACTGGTCCCTGGAGCCTCTCGCCCCCTCCTTTGCAGCAGTCTAGAATTCCTTGAGCCATCACGCCCAATGCAGTGTATAGGACGCGAGGACACCATGGGACATACCATTGCTGCAATGGAGGAGAGAGGCTGGAGGGAGCACTCCTGGTTTTAAGGATTGGGTGGGTATCTTCTTAATTTTTGTTTTTTTTAATGTTATTTTTGATCCCTATGCAAAAATGAAGTTAACCCTTGCAGTGTGGGAGTAGCCCCACTGCAAGGGTTGATACGATTTCTGTCCAGAGTTCTTTAAAGGTTCAGTGCAGGCATCCTTGAAGACTGACTGACTGAAAGACCCAGTTTACCAACATGGCTAACTGCACTGCTAGCTTAATCTTTATATCAGCTAGTTTCATTAATTTCTATATGTCACTCAGAACTGTATGAGTTTAGTTATTTTATTGATGTATAGTTTATCTGACTTTGTAGCTAAGTACATTCATGTAGGTAACAGTAGTAATAGAGCTTTGGTTCAGCCAATAGTTTTTTTCTTTCCACTTTTAGATAAAATGGAGGGATATTAGAACATAGTGTCAGGTTTTTACTAGGATACATTCTGTGTACCCATCGCACTCAGAACCTCTGCTCCATGAGATAAGAAGTGAGTGCAGCAGGTGTCAACAGGGGTGGCTTCTGTCAAAGTATAAGTAAAGGATGGACACCGGCACTCCAAAGCAAATCCAGTACGTCTATTTATTCACGTGCTTGTTGCAAATGCAAAACACAAGATACATCAGGCACTTTTTTGCCTGATGAAGGGGATCCTGTGAGACCCCGAAACGTATCTTGTGTTTTGCATTTGCAACAAGCACGTGAATAAATAGACGTACTGGATTTGCTTTGGAGTGCCGGTGTCCATCCTTTACTTAGGTTTTTACTAGGGGTGTACTGATACTAGTATTGGTATCGGTGCCAATACAGAGTATTTGGGTGAGTACTTTTACTTGTACTCACCCAAATGCTCCGATACCGGAACTTCCTGTCAGAGGAAGATTTCCTCTGACCGACAGTGCCGTAGGGGAAGATGGAGCCAGCTTTCCGTGCGATCAGGAAGCTGGACGGTGAGTAATGACCTGCCTCCCGTGTTCCTGATTGGCCGGGAAGCCGGCTCAATGATTGGCCAGGAAGCCAGTTTCCCAGCCAAGCACAATCAAGCCAGCCAGACAACATGGAGCCAGCTTCTCGGGCAGTCAAATTGCCCAGGAAGCCGGCTCCGTGCCAGCTGAAACACCAGTGTCGGTACTCGATACTGAAAAATTGGTGTCGGTGCATCCCTCATTTTTACTACTGTCTGTGGTCAAGTTGGTGACAAGTGTCTCAAAGACAGGACATAAGGGTAAATATGCTCAGTGGGGATGTAGACATCAATAAATACCTGGTAGAGAATGGTAGCTTTCAAAACGGTTTGGGCCAGTCTATTGCTGGTATGGTATGTATGTTGGTACTGTTTAAACCTTTTATGGTGAGCAGATATGCAGTGATATGCCAATAGTCTGACATGACTCCTTCATCAAGGACAATGGACATACGCAGGGCCTGTTGATCACAGGTTTATTTTAGTCATGTTATCTGAGAGATAACAACCATTGTGTCAGCAGAACCGATCTATCACACACAGATCTGAATGCGGTTAAAGGTATATAACCGCAGGAGAGTCTGAAGATCTAAATCCAAAGGCCATTTTCACTGTTAGATGCCATTTCAGCACATAGCAAGCTGTTTCACTGAAATGTTTCTGAAGAATTCTGAACGGAATACTGGAAACATGATCTCTCTCCATGAGTTGGAATTTATCCAGCTTCAGTGCTGATCTTGCCCCACTTGGCTTCAGCTTGTCAAGATACATCTTCCTATTCAGCTTGCTGTTGCTACCCGTGTGAATTAAATCACCCTTAGTTACTGAGGAAGAAAAACAATCAAAAAAGCTTTTTAATGCCTCGTAATGTGAGGAACGACATTCGGAGAGAAATAATGTTCAGCTCCTCGCTATTGTCAAGAGATCTGATCAGTACAGTATATAAATTGTAAAAAAAAAAAGTGTGTATACACCGCCTGGCCAAAAGTCACACACTCTCTTAATATTTAATTGGACCGCCTTTAGCTTTAATTACAACACACATTCATCATGACATCATTTTGATAATCTTGTGTCACAACATTTATCTATGTCCTGAGTTGCATTCATTTTTCACCAAGATCTTGTAGTGATGATGGGAGAGTCAGAGCTCTGTGTAAAGTCTTTTCCAGCACATCCCAAAGATTCTCAATGGGGTTAAGGTCTGGACTCTGTGGTGGCCGATCCAGGTGTGAAAATGATGTCTCATGCGCCCTGAACCACTCTTTCACAAAGTGTGCCCGATGAATCCTGGCATTGTGATCTTGGAATACGCCCAATGTGCCATCAGGGAAAAACCTGGTCATTCAGGTAGACGGCCAACCTAATTGTTTTTGGGCACATGATGTTGCTGAACCTAGACCTGACCAACTGAAGCAACCCCAGATCATAACAGTGCTCAAAATCTAGGTGGCGTTTTTTCTTTTTGGTGTGTGGGTGTAATAAATAAAATATATGTGTATACAGGGCTCAAAATTTCAAGTCCTGAGCTACTAGCCAGGCCTTAAAGTTACTCGCCACCAGTTGCCCCACCTAACCCCTACCCTGCCCCAGACTTAACTCCACCAGGTCAGTAATGTAACGCACAGAGCAGAGGTCAGTAATGTAATGCACAGCGCAGAGGTCAGGGTGACGCGCAGAGGTCAGGGTGACGCGCAGAGGTTTCAGTGTATTCAGACCCCCTTCACTTTTTTCAATTTTTTTGTTATGTTGCAGCCTGATACTACAGTTGTTTACAATGTTTGTGTGGGGTTGCGTGGTGCTCATTAATCTACACTCAGAACCCCATAATGACAAAGTGAAAACAGATTTTTAGAAATATCTGTGAATTTATTAAAAAGCAAAAACTGAAATATCACATTGGCATAAGTATTCAGATCCTTTGCAACAACACTTGAAATTTAGCTCAGGTTCCTCCCATTTGTCTTGATTGTTGCTGAGATGTTTCTACACATCGATTTGGAGTCCACCTGTGGTAAATTAAATTGATTCGACATGATTTGGAAAGGCACACGCCTCTCTATAGAAGGCCTCAGGGCCGGTTCATACCACAAAGACTGCGTTCCAGAGTGTTGGGCCTCTGGTCCGGCTCCCTGCATTCAGGGGTGGGAGGGGGCATGGCGGTGCATTGAAGTCAATGCCACTGCAGCCATGCTCCCTTGTGTTTTAAGATTCCGCAGCATTCAGCCACAATTTTTCTATGTGCTTTGTTGTCTTGGGGGTTGAGGTTTTTGTTCTGCGTTTCCCAGGCCCACACCCATGTGTACTAATTTTTTTTGTCTTTTTTTTTCCTGTAAATTTTTTTGTGGGGGATGCATCCACAGGGAAAACACAACTCCCAGAAAAAAAAAGCAAGTGATTTGAGAAGGAAAAAACTTCTTGGAAAAAAATCACCAGTCCATTCAGTGACCTGACTTCCTATTTACAAACTTTAAAAAGTCTAGCTTTACAGTTATTGAAATGTTCACCATTTTTCACTGTGTAGTCATGTTGACCTGATCAGTGGTGTAGTACTCAACATGTGGTTATTATCCAGAGGCTTCCCTTCAGTACGGTGTACAAGTAGGGCGACTTTGGCCAAATATTTTTGAGAAATTCTCCTTACCAAAGGCATATATTCAGTTTTTTACCCTTATTGCTTGAAAGTGAATGCTTCACCTACTGGACTTTTTAAAATGGCACATGTTTTATTTTCCTAAGCAGAATACTGCCCTTCAGACACAGCACATTCCCCCCTACTGTACTGGAGATGGAAGCTCTTGTTGGAATGTAAAGCAGCATGAAAGTGCTGGCAGTACCACTTACCAGTAGAAAAATATTAGACAATTGTCCCATATATTCTGATAAGGGGCAAAAAGCATTTTACAGGCCTGTAAGTGAATAGTCCTATGCTCATTGGCACACAATCCATGATTAGCACTTTGCATGTTTCAGATACCCCCAACCACTCTTAATCTCGCATAGTTTGGAAGCATTTAGCTTCAGTTTTATAACCGTGCTAAATAAGGATTGGATCAGCTGAAGACCAACGCAACAAGATCTGGCAGCTCCTGCGGTTATGAGCTTGTAATGCTCTTGGTGCTTAGCTTGCCCACAACCCTTACAGAAGTCACAGGCAACCAGCGTTAGTTACTCCTTATCCATGGCCATACTTTGTAAACAGTCCTGCTCTTCAGGAGAGCCTTCATCACTTCCCTCCTAGAAATAGCCTACTCATTATTCTGAAAGTA